TTTTCTCAGCCTTTTTTTTTTACTATATTAAATCTTTGTCACAATTGACAATGTTGATTAGACACCATAAATCTTACTTAAATTAAACTAATTTAATATTTGATACTATATTTAAATTCATAATATAATGAAAAATGAAAATTTGCAGTGTAAAAGCAACCATTGAGAAGTACAAGAAAGCATCCTCGGATTCCTCGAACAATGGATCTATATCTGAAGCTAATACTCAGGTAAAATATTTATTTAATACATTCTGCTTAATTAATTAGTTAATTCTGACCTTAAGATTTGATTTTCTTGATTTTTTTTTATCATAAGATCATTTGATTAAATGTTGCAAATGTTATTAATTGAATATTAAACTAAGTATTTTGATTAATATGTATAATAATTTCAGTACTACCAGCAAGAAGCTTCGAAACTGCGTGCACAAATCAATAATTTGCAGAATCAAAACAGGTATTTTTCACTGTTAATTAATTAATTTCAGATATAAATCTTTTTTTTTTCTTAATTTGTTGTGCAATTAAAATTACTCGATAATGATATTAGTTCGATGTTTTTGGTTTAGGAACATGCTTGGTGAATCTTTAGGAGCTTTAACACTGAGGGAGCTCAAGAATCTCGAGAGCAGGGTCGAACGAGGAATTAGCAAAATCCGGTCCAAAAAGGTGCTACATATATACCTTATTTTATTGTATCGTAAATTATGTAATTTTATCGAACAATTGTCAATTACATGGTCCCTTTTATTTTTTTTTTATTTTTTTTTCTCTTTTTTTAATGTCACAGAATGAGTTGCTATTTGCTGAAATTGAGTACATGCAAAAGAGAGTAAGTATTCTTATCTTTTGCTTTTTATATTGATATTTCACTAATTATTGTAATTATTTGTAATTATTATAATTCATACTATTCTTTTTTTTTTCCTTTTTTTTTTTGCAATAATTCCATTTTAATTTGTAGTATACTATGATCAGCCACCTGATTATATTTATTTTTCTCATCTATACTGATCAGCAGGAGATTGACTTACATCACAACAATCAGTACCTTCGTGCAAAGGTCTCTCTCTCTCTCTCTCTCTCTCTCTCTCTCTCCATTAAGTAATAGAAATATATGAAATATTTCAAAAATAATTTAATTAATTTGTGTATATATATATATATATACAGGTAGCTGAAACTGAGAGAGCACAGCAACAGATGAATTTGATGCCCGGAAGTTCCGATTATGCCCTCGTTCAGCCTCACCAATTCGATGCTCGCGATTTTCTTCAACCCCATGGCCAAGACCAACCACATCTCCAGTTAATGTAAGACTACTATATATATATATTCCTATCTTATTATACATATTTCAAAATATTAAACAAAATGTTTATATATATATATATATTGTGTCAACAGGTGAAGATGATGAAGATGCTGATTCTGTTAATAAGTGCCTTCACTAGGGC